CTTTCTTTAACATATACTTAGTTATTCTTCATGTCAGGGAAAGCAGAGTATGGGAATAAGCGGGGGGGGGGGGGGAATGTGCAGACTTCAAAGTCCCCTCTCCTTGTCAAGCTGGTTTCACCCATCTCCATTCATCATTTAGGCGTGTGCATAGTCACACCTTCAAGTCAGTACTGACTCCTGGTTACTGCCTGGACAAGTCCCAGCAGGTTTCTTGACAAGATTTCACAAAGGGCCAGTGATTGCCTACTTTCCTAGGGCTGAGACAGAATTATTAATTCAAGGTCACCTAGCTGGCTTTGTGCCTAAGATGGGCCTAGAACTCAGTCTCCAGGTTTCTAAACTGGTGCCTTAATCATTACACCAACCTCGTTTTTAGTCTTTTTAAGCCAATCTACCTCTCACTGAAACATCATCTAGGATCCACTATCTTGGGTCAAGATCACAGCAGCTACAGGATTTGGGTGATTTTTCTTTACGTAGGGCTAAGAATTTCAGAAATTGAAGAGATCTTCTGATGTTACCTTTACCAAAATGCCCCTTTCATAAGGGCAAAATATATTTTCAATTTGTGCAGGGAATTCCCGGCGGGGGGGGAGGGGGAGGAGGGAAGGAAGGGACTACAGCTCTGTGCCAAATCCTCTACCAACTGAAAAAGCAGTACTTTTCAGACAAAACACAAAATTGCAGGGCAAATAGAATGCCTAGGCCAGGGGTAGGCAACCTTGGCTCTTTTATGACTTGTGGACTTCAACTCCCAGAATTCCTGAGTCAGCATAGCTGACTCAGGAATTCTGGGAGTTGAAGTCCACAAGTCATAAAAGAGCCAAGGTTGCCTACCCCTGGCCTCGGTTCAAGGCCGGAGGCATTTCACTGAATGCCCATCCCAGGTTCCTGACTTCCAGTGAATACATTCCAGAGCCACTGGACACATTTAATCTTAATGGGTTTTCTATGAAGCATCGATTCTTCAAATTTTCTCTTTTGGGGGGCAACCCTTCTAAGTCTACTAACATTTCTAGGCTATATAACAGTGCTCAGCGATTTTTGATTCCAGTGGCTGAAGAAGGAGGAGGGATCAGAAGACCGCAAGAGGTAGAACAAGGAATCGAAGGAATCTGTCTGTTTATTTCACACATCTCGTTCAATCCAGGATTTTTCTTCTTCTGTAGTAGGGAGAGAGACAAGCCTGTGAGAGCCTTGAACTGTACTTAATGCAGTACATTTATACTTAATGTACTTAATAAAGTATAAATGTACTGCATTAAGTGCATTTTGAAGCTCATACCGCTGTGTTTCCACTCTTAAAATGGTAGTTAAATCATATCAATTTTTGGTAGTTAAATTGTAGACATTAAGTTGCAACAACCACCCGAGAGGGCCATGAATCTGTCAGCTGGGAAAAAAAGAGATTTTGGACTATGTAGCATTGTCGTATGGATAACAACAAAACAATTTATCATGATCACGTTAACAAATATCAGATTTAGAACTGAATCAGTCTACTCTAGAAGGAAGATACAGCAATTCAGAAATATAGAGGGGAATTCAGCATATTGAAATACTGTATCATTTGCTCCTCAAGAAATACAATGTACTAACTCAGCTGTTAGCCAAATCTCAGGAGCAAGTTTTAGTTCCTTTGTACAGGTGTATTGAAATACATGGAGGAATACTCCACAAAAAACTTAGAAATTAAACTTAGTAGAAAATTCATAGACTGCATGACAGAGCTATGTACAGAGGCAAGGGAACAACTGAGCTTTCCACAATATGGTTCAGTATTTGAAATAATCAAGTGAATCAATATTTTTCATTCAACAAAATTAAAATAACAAAATCCTATGGTAGCATTCTGAGATTTCCCATGCCTTTTCTTTTATTGGGCTGCTGCCTTGAATGGGATTTCACAAAAAGGAACACTCTGCTGTGCTACTTCTATATCGCCTCTTCCCCCTCCCACCCGCAAATCTTAAAACAGGCTCTGAAATACAGTGAGCATACCAGCCCTGTTGATTTCAGCAGAAATACATTAAGCAGGCTAGACCCAATGGTCCAAATCTGTTCCATTTAAAAGTGCTCAACTCTGCTGAGTCACGCCTAGTTATTGCAAATATAAGATAGCTTTCCTACACCAATGGCTCTACACATAAAAGAAGCAGAAACAATCCAGCACTGTAGTGTCCGTTGTATGAAATTCACTGGTGCTGTTGGATTCTGAAATAAGAAACATCTCTTATATGACAGAGAGCTGTCAAGTTTTAAAATAAAACTTTTTTCCAGCAGTTATTTCAACAGATAAACACCATTCTAAGCTGAAAGAACCTAAGAATACCTCATAAAAAGCAATCTCTAAGAATCTGCAGATAATGACACACATTTAAAGTGCGTATTATATAAAATTATAAGCACAGCCTGTGCCTGGCACACTTAAAAAACAAATATAAAAAACCTATTTCTTGATTATCTAATTGTAAATAGAATTGATAGATATGTGCTTAAACCAAAGTCATTTATTAGGTTTCAAAGTTCAGTTTTATAATATAATAAACACACTCTCAACACAAATCAAGTACTGCTCATCACTCCTCCTGTATAAAAACTATCTTAGTTTGCTTTTGAAACTAAGAATAGCCATTAAAAAAAACAAACAGATGCCACTATGTTTTAGTGATGGATCTGGGCTTAGCAATAGTATATAGTTTAAGATTGTCACCTTTAAGACTTTTTGTCCCTTTCCAGTCTTACTTATGGCTCTAACTTATTATCCTGGCAGTCATCCAACCCTGTTTTTCAAAATCAGCCAAAGTTGACTAAGTGGTACCACCTATAACAGACATGTCAAACTCGCAATGTCACGTGACATCGCGCAACGTATCGGGACGGTTTTGCCATTGTCGGCAATGGGGTAGGTGCGGCTTCCGCGTGACGCGCTCGGCCCGCGGGCTGGCAGTTTGACACCCTTTGACCTATAATAAGCTGGCCACAAGGGAACAAGCATTATATGGCCTTATAAGTCAGTTTACACCTAATTCCCGCATACAACATTCATTTAGGCTCTATACTTTATTTCTTAGCACATGTATCTAGCTTGTCATGAAAGACACATGGCACATCACATGGGCAAACCAGTGTAGCTTGCACTTTACCTGGAGCTTTTCACCTAGGAAGTTATGACATTTGAAGTAGTCCAAGCTGTCATTAGGTAACTTTGATGTACATATCTATTCTCATATTGCATGTTCCAAACACAGGTTTAACAGTTCTTTAAATCACTTATACAGTACAAAAACGTATGGTTCCAATCTGGAGAAAGTTAAAAGTTTGGTTCAGATGAAGTAATTATGCAATACTTGGAACATGTATACTTTTGTTTTGGATAAATTGCCACAAATGAGAGTTGCAGCCACATAAGACACTAAATTACAAACCAATAACTTGTACAGTATCATTAACCTATTAACATCTTTGTTCTTTACTTTTTTGCTTTGGATGAACTTCTTAAATGAACCTTTTGTGTGTGTGTCAGCTCTCACTCTCTTGGAATAGTACAGTAAGTAATCTAAATGGTCAACCATCCATTAAATTCAACCTGATTCTATCTTGCCTTTCAACGCTCATAATTCCCAAACATCATCTAGCTGTCACCAAAGCACCATATGATTCCATTACTATGAGACAAGTAGGCAATCAAAATCATTTAATTGGAACAGTTGTCCTACAACTCTTTCCCTCCATGTCATAATAGTTAGCTAATTGTAACAGTATCTACCAATCATAGGAAGAGTCTCACTTTTCTTGTTTCCCTAGTTCAGAGTCCAAGACACTTCAAAGCATCAGTATTAACCTGTAGTTGAAAAAATGCTGTACAGTACCATACTTCTAGGTAATTAACTAAAAATGAAAGTATATTTAACCAGTATTTCCCCCTAGATAATGTATATTATGGAACTGTACAGTCATCAGATATCTTTTTACCTTGTTTGCACAGGTCCAAGATTGTTTTATTACCATTTCTCTTATCTTTGTTAAAATACCAATATCCTACAAATGTTCAAAAAGGCTTCCTTCGCCATCTCTACGTACAGTGGGGCAAGAGAAGCCAATTTTCCTAAGTTAAGCGGTAGAGAATTCTCTCTCTGCGCATCAGCTATTTTTATACACTGTAGTGTAATATATTCCACTCTTTCTCACCAAAGCATAAAGCCAAAAAAAATAAAATAAAATAGATGAACTAAAAACCAAAAGCCAACACCTGGAGAAGAAGAAGAAAAAAAATCATGAACATGCAGCGATGTTCGCAAAAAAGCTTCTTGCTTCGCTTATGGGACTGTAGACGGATTTTCACAGGTTTTCTCCATTGTTAAAAGCTTCCTAGCTACCGTAACAAACGCTTTACCCTTTGTAACTCTCCCGCTTTGGGGACAATTTTTTTTTCTTGATTTCTGGCTCGTGCCACCAATAGGGAGGCGATCGGACAGCCTGATATTTGCTACTTAAGGCAATTCTTTCTTTTTTTTATTAAATTTTTATTGATTTTGCAATTGAAAACAATAACATAAATATGATGCATTTAATCACAATATCAACCAAAAAAATAACACTACTCAATACATTCACGGAAGTGTCCGGTGTCCCCCCCCGCACCCCCCTCTTTCACTTTCCACAACTTCCTCCCCCCCAGACCTACAACCTCTCCTCCTTCCTACAACCTCTCCTCCTTCTTAAGCTAATGTGTGAATAAATAAAAAGTTGAGGACCAGTCATTCAGCCACGATATTAGTTGGGCTCTCCCGCTGCCGTGCCGTAAGCTGCTGAACCAATTGCCCCAGGAGCGACCCAAGCACGGCGAGGCTACCCCAGGACAACCCAGAGGCTTCCCACGAAAGAAGAGCCTTTTTTGGGGGGGGGAGAAAGGGACGATCTGCCGCTCCAGGGAAAGAGTCCCCAGCGAGGATTACCCTGTGCTGGGAGTAACCGGAAGCAGAGGGGTCACTCACTAGTGCCAGGCCTGGAGAGCAGCAGCAGAAAGATGGCCATCCCCCAAGCCGCCGGGTGGGCCAGGGCCCCGCAGCCGCGCCGCAGCCAAACATACACGCGGCAGCCCGCGGGGGCGTCCGACATGACGAAACCGTCCTTCCACCCCCGCCTTCTCCGCCGGCTTTTATTCTAAGGAAGGGAAAGGCTGGGTGTGGTTTGCCGCCGGCTGCCACGCACGAAGCACCTGTTGGGAGGGACGTAGCCCGGGAGAAAAGGCGAGGAGGGCTCCCCGGGCGAGGGAGACGTTGCTGGGCGCCTTTCGTTCAATCCCGCTTCCCCAGTCTCTTCTTACGTGACGGCCAACACAGCTTCTCGCCGCCTTTTTAAGGATTCACGCGGTTTGTTTGGAAATCGCCAGGCCCGAGTAATCTTTCGGCCGTAACGTGTGGAGCGATGGTCGAGGACGAGGGAGTTTGAACGCAGTGCCTGCTACCGCCTCACCCAAGCCACGTTCTCAGGACCCACTTGCCCATAGTGAAGCATAATGACTGAGATCGGTATTCTCACATTACATGTCACGGGCTAAAATGGAATGAGTTGGGTCAATCAGATGAGTCGTAAACCTTCTATAGGGCAATGAGATTCCATGAACCCAACCTACCATGGCTTGGAGTTAGGGCAGTGTTTCTTAAGGCATGTGGACTTCAACTCCCAGAATTCCACAGCCAGCATTGCTGGCTGTGGAATTCTGGGAGTTGAAGTCCACGTGCCTTAAAATTGTCAAGGTTGAGAAATACTGAGTTAGGGTGACCGTCATTCCCTCTTTAATATTATGTAACATCTCCTCTCTTCAAGCTACACTTTTAAGGAAGATGTTGCCGATTCCAAAAACTGGGATTATTCTGGAGTTTTCTTACCTGATACTTCTAAAAGTCAGTTTCATAATTTTCCAGGGTATGAGGTCAAACTACCTTGGGTACCTCCAGATGTGTATCTATATTTTCTTCCACATGTATCTTCTCTTCCCTCAACTTCATGATATGGATAAAGCTACATGGAAAGCAACCATCTGTATTCTTCCTGCTGTTTTGAAAACACTAGGTCAGAGGTCCCCAACCCCCAGTCTGTAGACCAGTACTGGGCCACAGCATGCCAGCAAGCAAGCCGCACAAACAAGCAAAGGCCCATCTGTGGGATGCAGGCAGCACACAAAGTCACACACCCTCCGGTCCGTGGAAAAACCTCTCTCTATGGAACTGGCCCCTGGTGCCCAAAAGTTTGGGGACTTCTGCACTAGGTCACTTTTCTGTGCCTGAAAAATAGTGAAACGGGGGTATAGATTTGTCTGAAAAGATCAATTCTGCCATTACAAATGACCAAGTGAGACTTATCTAACTTTTTACTCCGAAATTCAGTGAAACAAGGCAGAAGCCACATTACCAGTTAAATGGCCAGTTGTATATACCACTGCATTGTTAAGTGTGTATACTCAGCGTTTCTGGGTTCTCCTCCTTCAAGTTAACATTTCCAATACTACCTGGCACCTTTCACAACTTCGGAAAACTGAGGTATTTCTTGCTTTTGAAATTTAGCATCTCTGTTCACCCATCTTTCTCTACAAATGCCAGTTACTTCATCTCTTAATCAGAGATGTTTGCTGACATTTAAGCTGTCTTCAGTATCTAGAACAGCGGTTCTCAACCTATGGGTCGTGACCCCATTTGGGGTCGATCGACCATTTCACGGGGGTCGCCAAGCAAGGCTGTCCGCCATTTTTTTCCCCCTTTTCTGGCGGGTGCCTTACCTCCCTTGGGCTGGGCCAGCTGGTGGTCGGCCTGCTCCGTCTCTGCCGCTTGCCAGCTACGCCTCGGCCGGCGCAGGGGGCGGAACCACGCATGCGCGGCGCTCCCGGGCAGGGAAAGTCCTTGACTTACGACCGGTTGGGTAGTCCTCAACTTACGACCGGTTTAGTCCTCGACTTACGACCGGTTTAGTCCTCGACTTACGACCGGTTGGGGGTCGCGGCATTAAAAAGGTTGAGAACCACTGATCTAGAACTTTAAGCAGCAAAGGAGTGCTCTTTTACCCTGGGTTTCTCAGGTACAAATCCCTGATTAGTTAAGGTTCAATAAGATATTGATTCCTCAAATTCTTACATATGTTTTCTGCAGCTCAAGAATTGGACGCAGTGTAGAGTGAAAAATTTCTCATTGCTGGGCTAAGCCATTGCCACAGGAAAATCCCCGTAATGTTTGGCCCAGCCTTCTTGTTGCTAGGCTAAAGATATGCATAAGAGAAGAAGTATTGATTTTCCTTTAGCAAATAATGTGCATTACTCTAGAGCAGGGGTAGGCAACCTTGGCTCTTTTATGACTTGTGGACTTCCAACTCCTAGAATTCCTGAGCCAGCCATCCCGGCTCAGGAATTCTGGAAGTTGAAGTCCACAAGTCATAAAAGAGCCAAGGTTCCCCACCCCTACTCTAGAGGCATCCAGAGCCACTGAATCCTCTATATTTTTCAAACCAACTTCCTTCCAGATATGCTGAACCACAACTTCTATGGTGCTGGCTAAATTTATTGCTAAAGTTCGATAAGGGAACCTAGATGGGGAAACCTGGAGTATAAAGGTAGACTGATTAACAGAATTGTAAGTTAAGTGCCCATAGAAAAACACTAAAGCAAACATTTGGCTTAATTTGTATGAAAACAATTCTTGTGCATTTATGTACTTGGTGGGGAAATAAACAATTTCTATGGCTATTATCTGAAGTGTGCACGCTCATCCCTGCTCTCCAGCTCCCGGTTTCATTTTCATCTTCAAGACTTAAGCCAATAGCCTTTTTTTAATGTTAGAGAAGGAGCAAAGGCAACCCTGCCTTTTTCTCATCTAAAATACTTTTGTTTTCAAACCAAGAATAGGGATGAAAATGGTGCTCTCAGTCATTATTGCACTGATACCGCAATCGTGTATATGCTATGCTAGAAACATGGTTTTTGTTCTGCTTTAAAAGCAAATAGTACTTAGAGCCAAAAGGAGAGGGAGGCTGGATCAAGATACAATTTGAAGCAGAGGGAGAAAAGGATGATGAAAGTACATCAAGAAAATGGGCATTTGCCAATATAATTATTACTTGCCAAGTTGTACTAATAACCTCTTGACACATGCAGGAAGATGCCAAAATATTATTATCCCCTGCCAAAGCCTGTAATCCTATTTTTTGAATGGGGTCCCTGCTTCTGTACTCCTCCTGTCATTATATAGTTGGGAAGGGAATTCTGCATTTTTGTCAGTATCCTTTGATTCTGTTTTTCTTTTTCTTTCTTTGTTTTTCTCTTTTCACTTTATTATTTGTCTGTCTCTGTGTCTGTCTGTCTGTCTATCTATGCAAAATCACCACACCACCAAAAAAGAACAATCACAGTCTTCAGTATTTTAGAGGGGTTTTTTTTCTTTAAAAAAATACTATAAAGTTATAAAAAGCAGAGAGGCTTCAAATTGGATCCATGGACAGAGTTCTCAGACTGCTGGCTTCTGCAGTACGCAGGCACTTGCTGTTAATGTGCTTTTGACTGTCAAGAGAAGAAAGAAGAGAGTGTCAGTGCAGCATATGGCAGTTCATGTCATACCAACCACAGAAAATGTATCTATTGTGGCTAGTGTGTAGCCAGTGCTCCTTTGAAATGACCAAAGGACATGCAGCTATATTTATTAATTAATAACCTTTCATGAAAGTGTAATGGACTTTGCATATGTTGTCAGACCACCATGTAAAAACAAGGATCTCTAGCTGAAAAAAAGTTGGATCAGGTTCCAAATAAACATACTCCCCATTAAACCCTCTGTAGCAAGTGCATAAATTGGACTATAGTATAATAAGGAAATGCTCCCTTAATGCCCATAATTAGAGGTTCATAGTAATCCAAAGTGACACTAAAACCTCACATCATACTCCAGCAAGCAACCAGTTATTTCCACATAGATCCTCCATGTGACTGCAAAAATATTTGAAAGATGGAATCACACAATGATACATTTTTCCTGGCCACTTGCTTAATCAAGGGGACTAAAACTGAACGAGAAGGAAATGTTGAACATACAGTATATGAAATTCTGGGTGTAGGGGGATGTGTTTAACTAATACAAAAAGGAGTGAGCCTGGGTAGCTGGGCAGATGTTTTTCTGACTTGTATATACTGAACCTCCAAATCACTAGTGGCTGGAATCCCACTCTGAGAACATCAGGAGCTATCACAACAACTGCAGCTTAATTTTTCAGGAACAAAGTTTTAATATGAAATCTCTACTGGATTTAATTTATATTTGCATGACAAATGAAATAAAGTAACTGAAAGTAGAAAGAAACCCTATCTCTTCTTGAGCTGATGGCTGGGAATTGTTTTAACATAGCACAATATAACTACAGTTGGTGGCATAATATACATAATAAATATATAATTGAGCATTTGGGAACTCTGGCTGGTGAGTACCAAGCAGAGAGTTGGATTGCATGATCCTCAAATTTCTGACTTCAACAATAAGGAATATGCAGATCCTTTTTACTTTTTAAAGTCAATACTATAATAATACTAATAATAATACTAATAATAATACTAATACTACTACTACTACTACTACTACTACTAATAATAATAATAATAATAATAATAATAATAATAATAATAATAATAAAAAAAAAAAAGTTGGAAGGGACCTTGGAGGTCATCTAGTCCAACTCCCTGCTCAGGCAGGAAACCCTATACCATTTCGGACAAATGGCTGTCCAGTTTCTTCTTAAAAACTTCCAGTGTTGGCGCATTCACCGCTTCCACTATTTCTTCAATATTAGTGTGACTCTTGTCCCATGGTGAGTTGTTCCGTGACAAGTTGGCCATGGCGAGTTTTTCCCAGAAAGGTTCAAGACATATTCATGTTTGTTTACTATACCAGCATTTCCTCAAATCAGTTATCCAAAGATAAGATTAATCCAAGTATCATTTCAAAATACCTATATCTGTTTGCCCTTTCATAAAAAGTTTTAGAAGCAGATTTTTTTTTTTGTTCATAAATTGTTCACACAATTTTGCTCACATCTTGCCATAAAACTACCAATCTTAGCTGAATTCAAAGGTCTTGAATTCTCAGCTGTCTTTCTC